TCAGGGCATGGCTAACTCACAGATTGAAATGCAATTCTCAATCATTTCCTTTTAATGCCAAGCTTCCCTTACCTTTTCCTGATGTATTGTCACCATATGGACCAGTTCCTCTGGACGGCGTASCACCAGAATTTCTGGTCCAATCAAATTTATCTCCTTTGCGTTGGGTGAACCCGCACATATTAGCATCAAAGTTGCAGTTGAGCTCTGTAAGGAGAAGTCAAAAGTAGTTAGGTTGTTTTAAGATATTTTGAAAGATGAGCTCAAAGATGTGCTCAAAGACATATTCTCGCCAAACTGTTCAGAACAACGGGCAAAATATCTGGGCTAATCTAAGTCAAGGCACGGCTAACTCACAGATCAAACCCTTAAACAACCTCTAGGCTAATCTAAGTCAAGGCACGGCTAACTCACAGATTCAACCCTGAAACAATATCTGGGCTGATCTAAGTCAAGGCATGGCTAACTCACAGATTGAACCCTGAAACAACCTTTACGCTAATTCAAGTCAGAGCCGGGCACGGCTAACTCACAGATCAAACCCTGTAAGAAGGTTAACGCATTGTTCTTACTTGGAAGAGGTGGAGTAGTTGATGGCAGCGTTGGCGGTATTGGTGGTGGAGTTCATAGTTATAATTAATTAGTCAGTTAAATTAGATGAAGATGAAGATGAAGATGAAGATGAAGATGAAGATGAAGATGAAGATGAAGATGAAGATGAACAACGACGACAACGACGACAACGACAAAAAAACAGACATATGCCATTTGGGTTTTTTTTACTCACTAAAAGTCTTCAAATCGTATTATCGGCTCGAAATTATGGTCAAACACTGACCACCATTTGCTGTCAACCACAAAGAATTCTATTGAAAACTTGTGATTCAGCTGATAAACATTCTGTACGGATAAGAATTAAGTGACGTCTTGTGAAACCCAGCAATTTTACAATATCATTTGTAAGTGTTAATTGTAATTACCTGGAGCGCATCTAGGGAATGAAATATCATCAATAGCTATATCTCCTGTCCAATATCCTCCTCGAACACCTTCAAATCGTATCTGGAAAGAAATAAGGAACCATACCGATTAGCTCAGTTGGTAAGAGCGTCGGTCTGTTGTGCGGGAGGTCGTGGTTCAAGCCTTGGCCGGACCAACACTAAGGATCTTAAAATAACTGTGGAGAAGGGGCTGCCTTTGTAATTATATCTTCTTTTTTTAATTATAAAAGCTCTTGTGGTGTCCCTGCCCTCATGTGGAAAAGCTAATAAATTAAATAAAAAATAGAAAGCTGCTTAGCAAGCCCGCAAAAGAACAGTTTCGAGTTCCAATTAATCCTCAAGTGGAAGTACAAAACACAGCTAGTGGTTTCACTGTAAAGTTTTGAACATTTATGTCATCTATGTGAATGGAAACCTATGAGCGATTTGTCTTTTTCAATAATAATGAAAACGAAAACATCTAAAAACAAGGAAAAAGTTTCAAGTGCCTATAACCTTTATAGGATTATGATCAATTTTGATTTTCTGTGTGTTGGAGATGAATAAACAAAAAATTTGTTTTCGATTGACTAAATATTCTCGGGGATATAACGCGCTAAATTACGCAGTTTTGCAACGCCCCATCGATTTGGACGGGATCGCGAGGTCTGGTACCTAGTTGGCGTCGAATGACGTCACAACAAGAACGACTCGGCTTCCAATAAGTAAAACAAAGTAGAGCTTGGCTGTTCCTTCCAGTGTTTTTACCTGTTTTGGTCGCAACAACACATCTAGTCGGCATTTTCTCATATTCTGACCGAAGAACTAGTAAGAATCTTTGCTTATCAAAACATTCGTTCTTGTTGTGACGTCACCACTCAGCGAGAATCTGCTCGGKCCCAGTTTCCCTTTATCCTGTCCAAATCGATGGGGCGTTGCAAAACTGCAGAACTGCGACAAAACTGAGCAACAAATAACCCAAAAAGCAGTATTTTTCAGCTGTCGTCTCTTGAGTTATTCAGTCGTTTCAAATAATGAGAAAGGAAATCTTACCGTTTGTGATCCACTTTGAGTTAAGCGCACTTCGGCAGCCTTCCATGGTTGTCCTTGACTACCAGACTTGCTAAACACCTTGGTGTTACCAACATACACGTTCAGAGTACCAACACCATTGCCATTCATTTGATAGAAGAACTTGAGACATTCCTTGCCAGTGAGAGTCACTTGTTTCTCGATAACAGCAATATCACCCTTGACTCGTGGATAAGATGTTTCAATGTACATGTAGTAGCCTGTAGTCACACCAGAGTATTTTCAAGGTAATTGAATTCAAATCTTAATGCGTTATTGATAATCCATTACATTTAACCTCTGGGCTAAAAGTCTGAGTTTCCTTTAATCAGCCTTAATCTCGGTTGAGCGTTAAAATTTTCAGCCATTAAACCATTCAGAATGCCTTTTCTCATAACGTAAATACAACTGTTTTTAAGACTAAAGACTTATTTGTAAGGCTTAGCCTCGCTTACGAGAAAATCATTCACAAAATTCAACTGTAATTTGTAAAGAATGTGCAAGTTGAGCAATACCAATATCTTGATCTGAATTTGAATGGTATCTGTGAATAGCTGACTTATGAACGAGGCTAAGCCTGTGCAAATCAATCTGTCTTCTTCAAAAACAGCGGTTTGCATCAAATGCGAAACTGTATTGAGAATTGGATATGGCATTTTGACTAGTATTTCCTATATTTCTGAGCGCCACTTACATGGCATGTGCCTTCTGCAGTCTTGAAAATCAAATGTTTATGAAATTGATGCTAGATACGGTATTTTGTGCCGGTTTTTACAATTGCTAATGAATTTTACTTTGATTTTGAGAAGAAAATTGAGTCGGGTTCAAAAAAAGGTTATATCATTAAAGCTAAGAACGAAGGGGAGCATGAGAAGACAAACAATTATGCTAATTTCATGCGTATTGCAGTTTTCCCCTCCTGTGCACAATTTATGCATCATGGCTTTGGCATGTTGTTAATCTAGGTCGACCAACTTTGCTCTACTGTGCATTTTTACATGTCTATATGCAAATATAATACACATTTCGGAGTACACAAAATCATTTTAGCTTCGATGATATGACCTTCTCGAACCCGACTACGTTTCTTCAATTAGATATAACTAAACAAAATTGTTACATAGCTACGAAATTTTCCGATGTAACGAACATCCTCATTGGTTGAAAGATGACCACTTGACRCTAGTTAAATCTAAATGTATCCCTACGGGGATATAGGTTCCACGTGACAATAATCGTGAAAGTAAACGAGAGCACGTGATCAAAACGTGAAAATCGCTGATGGCGTGATATTTTTGCACCAATCAAAAACAGCAGAGCGCGGGAGCAGATATTTTGCTTAAATTTTCAGTCCAAATGGAGCTCGAAGCGAAACAATATAGATTCTCCAGTGTTTCTACAGAGAAATTACAGACTTTTATTGAGAAAAAGGATTTGAAAAATACGAAAAAAGCGACTAAAAATGCTGTTGCCACTCTCCTCGCTTTTTGGTAGAGAAATACAAGACCGAAAGAGACTTGTATTTGTAAAATCATGGTCAGTTTTCATGCATTTAGCTCGCTAAATAAAGTTCTTATTTCGTAAACAGACTTCTCAATATTTCTCAATTGCTATATAACAAAACACTTAATGTCTGGTCCCTCGGAAAATTAGTTAGTTTTCCCTCCCTCCTCTAGTATCGATGTTTCCCTCGGCTTCGCCTCGTGAAACATCGAGTATCTGGAAAACGAAATTATTTCCTTCGCGACCAGACATTAAGTGTATATTATCAAATTTTCATCACCCACCTTTTCCAGTAGCATGGTCTCCATTTGGTCCTGTTCTAAGTGACGGAGTGAATCCCCTGCGCCTCGTCCAATCAAACTTGTCTTTTTTGCTCTGAGTAAATCCACAGGTATCCCGTTCAAAATCACAGACAGATCCTAAAGAAGAAATATAAATGTTATATTGACCTCATAAGTATGCATGGGTTTAACGTTTTCCAATTTCGAACCACTTGTGCAAAATCACACATAGATGTTAAAGAAAGAAATAGAAAAGTTATTTTGACCTCATTAAAATGCATGGTTGTAACGCTTTTCAATTTCCAAAAACGTGTCAATGATATCTCTTGTGAATAAGATTATTTTTTTGAGTTGTATCCATGTTCATGTGTCTTCTCATGCATAACCGTTAAACAAAGAAATGATACTCTAGAGAATGACACGTGTAAACACTAAAAGTATGCAACCTAAATAATACTAAATACGGCTTAAAAAACTCATTAATAATTCATGAAGGAAACACAATAGAAATCATGACCATGAAGGAGGTTTTATATCTGATATAGATTCGTCTTCATTTGCATAAACTTTAACTTGGATTTTCTCTATCAAACTTGGTTCATTTCGTAAAGAATTCGGTACAGTATGAGAACATACATCAKGAGTTTTTTAAGCCGTTTAATAAACTCGCAGATCGTGTTYTATCGGGTCTAAAACCACTCGGCTACGCCTCGTGTTTTATACTCGATAAAACACTCCTRCTCGTTTATTAAACAGTACTTAATTACATTACTGATATTATTATATGTACATTAATTATTAGTCAGTAATTCGTAGTAATTCACCATTTTCCATACATTGGTTCACTGGTCAAACACAAAGCGCTCACGTGAGGCACCAAGGTACTTTCAAAGGATTATTCAAATTTGAACCTTGCAACCTCGACTGAATGCTTTGTGTTTGACCAGTAAACCGATGAATGGAAAATGGTGAATCAGAAGTAGATTATTAGAGGTTTTTTTTCATAAACCCGTGAAATACATAGATCTTATTAAACACTGTTTTATTTGTTAAACAGTTTTGGCGAGCCCGATGGGTAAGACAAAATACCAAGAGCGAGAAAACATTTCCACTCGTAATCCACCCTAAATTGTCGACGATAAGTTATTTATTATCCAACAGAGCTTAATTACGTTTTCCCACAAAGAATTAAGGCTTCAAGTTAAACTAATCTTTTTTGAACTAGTTTTCAAAACCGATTTTTAATTGTACTAAATGACCTCCACTTGATCTGAAATAGTGACGTAGAAATGAGGTCACTGCAAAATTAAGGTGTAATTGTCCAAGGAAAAGTAAAATCATGTCTGCCATTGCAATTAAAAAATAAAAATCATTATTGCACATAAGCAACGTTTTTTTCCCCATATAATTTGGTGGCCTAGAATTCCATAATCTAAGAGGAAAAACGAGGTCTTGTGCCCGAGGGCTTGATGAATATACGGACCGAGGCCGTTACCAACTATAGGACGGTAAATAATCTATTGTTTTCCCGTATTTCCCTTTTTTTTTTTTTTTAAAAAGAGGAAAAATGACATGCCAGCTTTGTAAATATTCTCTATTTTTATAGGCTAAAATTGTTTTCTCAAATCAGATTGTTTGGGCACAGATATCACAAGATATTTGTACTCGCTCCATTCTTTCTCCTTTGTTATTTGTACTCTAATGATACACTCTACAAAATTACTCCATTCTGATTGGACTGAGAGGAGTACAACTAAATCCCCAATTGTACTCTGAATTATAAACAAAACAATCGCACCTGTAATCTTCTCGTACAATTCGGAATTTATAGATACTCGTGATGCTTTGAAAGTTCTCAAATCAAACTCGACTAAAGGCCAGGCTCGTCAAATTTTGAAAATTTTCAAAACATCCCTCGTACCAAAAAAATTCGAATTGTACTCAAGCATAATTAGCACTACTTCACCACTCTAATTCTTTTGTTCTCTATTGTCTTCATCATCTGACTATCTCACTCTAATTAAGGTGTCTTGTTAATTAATTATAAACAGAAAATTGAAACTCTTTTTAACCTGAAATGCTGATTTCAAAAATGCAAAGATAAATGGGGTGTCCCGAGCTCGTTTTTGAGATAATCACTCCGGAATGACATGGATTTGTACAAATTTGGAAGAAAAATAGCGACAATCAAGCTCTGCACAAAAAATCATAAAACCGAAACTAAGGAAGAAACGAGTAATTTTTTTCCGAACACGTAACTTACACTGTATATATAAAATGCTGATAAAAGTTGATTCAATAAACTATTGTAGACAATGGAAAAACCTTTTTTTGTTCACTGCTATGGTGTGCAAGTTATCGTAAAAATTGAGCATAAAACAAACAGAACGATTCTAATAAACAAATAATTAGGATATTACCCGTTATTCTGATGGAGTAGAGTCCCGTGCAAAATTTGAGGGTTTCGCCCTCTTGAAGTTCAAAACGTGTATGGTTCTTCAATCAAATATTGAAGGTTATATTCAGCGGTTTTTGAATAACCTTTACACTTTGCTTCACAGGTAAATGATTAACAAGTTACGCCAGTTACTAAGGTCCTCTTTAACAAAATTTCCCAAAGAATCTATGATAGTAATTAGAAAGAGAGGTCAACTTCTTTCAATGGGAGGTCAAGATCATAGTAGTATTTACAGTTTTAACACTAATGAAGTCTATGTGAAGCATTTCATGTGCTGGAACATGAGCTAAATATATAATCATTGATAAAATAAAATTTTTTCTTTGTCACTGAAACGTGATATCTTATAAATAACACTATAAGAATTCTTAGAAATCTGACCATAAATAGTAAAAATCCACTAATCGTATTTCATCGATAATTGTACATTACACAGAATATTTACTCGGAAATGACTTTTCCAATGCTAGTCTCTTATATTAATTATAACATTATAAAGTCATATCCAAACGTCGGTGAAAGCACTGTGAATGCGCGTTTACTGTTTTTAGATATTGAGCAAGATCATAAAAATTGGCAACGCTCGAAAAGTATCGCTTTGTTTCTGTCGATTTGCAAAACACAAAAGCCAAAAGAAAAAGCCATTTGCTGTCTATATACTTTGGAAGGATYGAAGGATGTTTTGAGTCTTATATTATGATATTTCAGATATGGATTTGCTGTAAATCAAATAATAGGCTTTCTTCAGGCAAGGTTTGAATTAGGGCGATGCGTGTTTTGGATCATTTCCGTCCGTTACTCGCGGAATGAGCTATGAGCTTTAAACACTCAAATCAAAAACCCTCTTAATGCAAACGTTTTTTTTAAAGAAAATAACTATTTTGCAAACTTAATTTAAGACTTACCTACGACTCCTCCAAAAGCAGCAGTTGCAAAAAAACTCAACCAAACTAAAGTCATCATCTTGTGAACTTGATTGAAATCTCGCAGCCGAGCGTTCGTATTTAAGCCCTCCAAAAATTAATATTCAAATGTATTTAATGCTAAATTAAGGCATGCAATAATATCTAATTTAGACCTATAAAAGGTTCTTAATCGTCCGTCATCAGCCAACTACCACGGAAACCACAATGCGCGAATCCTATTGGTTGATAGTTGAATCGAAAGTAATCAATATAAAATAAGCTATGCGGAATCTAGGCGTGGAATGTACTGTTTGTCAAAGCGAACACTTTGTAAGTATTTTCTTTTATATCTTGTGAAAATAGAGAATATTACATGGGCCCTGTTATTTATCGATCCCAAAGCTTGTAACTAGGAGATCTTGAGCTACGAACAAAATGTCAAAATATTCGCTGATTGGCTAATTCACTAGGAATTAAGGAAGCGAAATCACCTGGCTCGTGGCAGCTAATTAAACAATCGGGATTGATTTTAAACGGCCCCTAAAAAGTACGAACATATCATTGTCTTTAAAATGAAATAAATAATTTTATTTAAGTGTCGTTCTAGCGCTTTCGCTCTAATTGGGRACACTTTTCGCTTACATGCTGCCACTTCATTCAATATTCTATGCACACATGCAACGCTCAACTCCAAAGTTGATTTTTACGGAGGGAGAAAAAAAATATGATAATGCAGTAGCAAGTTCAACCCCTAATTGGTACCAAATGATTTTTCTTTCTTTCTTTCTTTCTTTCTTTCTTTCTTTCTTTCTTTCTTTCAGCTTCTTTCGTTCCCCTCCCGAGTAAGTAAGAGTTAATTACCGAGAACGTCGGCAATAAGCCATATACATCCCGAGGGCCGCAGGATTTTATTTATCAATTGAGAAGGTTTTCTATCAATTGTTGCTCATTATAAATGCGAACGGTCTATATATAGTTATTAACCGGGTTAATAACTATATATTGACCTCGCATTTACACTCGATTGCAGAAACGTTGTAGTATACATTTATACAAATATCTAATGAGATGCATAATGCAAATTAACCATTTTCAACGCTTAAAACCAACTGATTTATATTCTGTATGATCGAAAAGACAAGAAAAAAATATTTTGACAGTCATTGAATGAAACTAACAATAAATAAAGCGAGCGATTTTTCTGCTTTGCATATCATTAAACATGCTGAATAAATTAGATATATGTTTAAATGTATACTACAACGTTTCTGCAATCGAGTGTATAATGAGGGTTATAACAAAAATAAAGCCTTGCGAATAACAAAGAAAACCGTGTCAATTGAGAAGTAAACGTTGTTATTTATCAATCCCAAAACCTCTAACTAAGAGATCTTGAGCTACGAACAAAATGTTCGCTGATTGATTAATTCACTCGGAATTAAGGAAGCGAAATCCCATGGCTCGTGGTAGCTAATTAAACAATTGGGATTAGGATCGAAAATGATCCCTTAAAGGTACGAAAATTGTCTTTCTTGTACTCATATCATGCAGTGGCAATTTCAACCCCTAATTGGTTCCAAATGACCTAATTTTACAGCACTTTAATTAGTTTTTCATTTAAACACTCTAAAAGGTAACAAATTAGCGAAAATGAAACCGTAAAGGGTACGAAGAGCATCCCCGCCCTTCTATATTGGGAATTCTCCTCCCCCTCCTCCCCTGGGGGTATTAATGGTGCCACAAATTTCACAATAGACGTTATTCGTGGTGTGACAATGTTTTCCCAATTCAGCGTGACGAACCTCAAGGGGATTCATTTTCTTTTGTTTTTACTCTTCGAAAAATTCATGAGTTTCCCAAAGGATACGAAAGGAACAATGATGATATCCCGACGAGTTGCAAAGCAATAGCTCTTTATTCCCCCAGAGGTTTGTCACGCTGAATTGGGAAAACATTGTCACACCACGAATAAGGTCTATTTCACAAAGTCACCTCTCAAATTACCATAGCATTTGCGTCAAAACTAGAATTTTCAAACAATTTGAAAAGAAGCTTAAAACATTTCATAGATAGGCGTTTATTTTCCCTTTTAATGTGATATTATTACATCAGAAGGATTTTAGTTCTTGGCCATTTCTCCTTTTATCCATGGAAGGAGATACTTGACCTTGGCATAGACACCAAATTTGCCAGGAGCAGCGCAGCCATAACCCCAGCTGGTAGCCCCATGAATAAAGAATCGACCTCCATTTTCACAGACCATTGGTCCACCAGAGTCTCCTTGGCATGAGTCAATACCACCCTGGTCAATACCAGCACAAATCATAGAATCGTGGATTTTATTTGGGTAAGCTTTGTCACAACGAGCACGGCTAGCAATTGGGACAGACACTTGTTGAAGGAAATCTGGTGTTGCACCTCCTGATGAAAGGCGTCCCCATCCTGTGATCCAGCAGTGTTTGCCATCAGTAGGAGCCGGGTCAGTTTCAGGCAGACACACCAGGTTGACGTTTCTGTAAGAGGAACATTTTGTCAAACACTCAGTGCCTTGAATCTCACGAAACATTTATTCTTCTAAGAAGCAAAACGCGACACCTCTTTACCCTTGCCATAATGTTTCCCCATTTTAGACCAAGTGCCAATCCCTTGAGTAATATTTTGCGTTTGCGCATGAAAAAAACATCATCATATAGACAATTTAAAGAAACAATCTTATTCTCAAGAAAATGGCACGTGGTCTAAAATGGGTAAAGATTTCGTTCAAACTAAAGAGCCCTGTCTTTAGAAACGTACACCGCAGGGAAATTCTAGCAATACAATTATCATTTGTCTCTAAAGTATCATGTCTCTAATGGTTTAGTAAAAAAGGTACATCAATATGGATTTAACTCAAATAAASTCAATCACTAAGAAGATGGTACGTGGTCTGAAATAGGAAAACATTACACSCAASGAAAAGAGGCATATCACCCCGTTGCATTAGGAATAGGCAGAAAATTAAAGATAAAATTTATAGCTTTCAATATTTATTAATATGTTGCTTTCGTCGTATAGAGCGTTTCCACGTGACGTGTACCAAAACAATACATTTTCTATCCTCCGGGAATTGAACTCTATTCTTATGCTTATAGTACACTCAATTATTTTCTATCATTTTGTACTTTAAAAACATATAAATAAAATTTTAAAGCCGTAAGAACTAATCTTTTTTATGCATTTCAATTGCGCGATGGACTGAAAATCGGCCGCCAAATAGACAAAGATGAACGGAGTCGCTTCGCATCTTTTACTGAAATTTTGTTGAGTGAACTATAAACAAAAAATCGCACGATCTTCTCGTAAAAGGCGAGTGCAATTAAAGAACTTTCAAAACATTACAAGTTCTATTAATTCCAAATTGTACTCGAGAACGTGCGATTTCCTAGACAAATACTGTGCAGAGAATTTCTATTGTTTGGTACACCAATATGGCTGCCTTCTCACGTGAGTGAAAACGCTCTATACACACAATTCTCAACATGATAAGGTAACTCACCGATTGAGTAGAGCAGGTTTCTCCAGCTTCAACAAGGCGATGTCATGAGAGTACGACTTTGGCTTGTGGTAACTAGGATGAGTAATGACCTTGGATACCTTAATATCCTGTTCTGTGCCAACAGTCTGGATGCGTCTGTGAGCTCCAAGCCTAAGTAAAAAAAAGTGATTTTTAAAGCACCGTGCAATTTTTTCCAGCAACTTGTCTGGCAACGCCATTGCGAGACAAATTGCTGGAGAATTGCACATTGCAAAAGTGTTTGTCTACATTTTCAAGCATTTCGACACAAGTTGCTGAGAAAATTGCACAGTGTATGTAACAGTAGCTTAACTCGACAAAGTCCTTCTCTCAACCCTGGAATTTTTAATTACCTGATGACAATGGAGCTTGCTGATTTCCCAGAGACACAGTGAGTAGCGGTGAGAATCCATTGAGGATGAATCAGAGATCCACCACAGTATGGGAACCCGGATCTAGTTCTTAACTGAACCTGCCAAGGCCAGTCACCATGCTTAGCGGCTGTGCCTCCTACGATTCTCGTGTGTGGACGGACACCGCATGAACCTGAAATAGTTATCAAAATAGTAAAAACAAGTATATATTTTTTGATATACAGAGCGTTCTCACATGCCGTCAGAGCCGCCATATTAGTGTACATTTGACAATTACACATTACATTGCATCATTAGACCAATATGTCCGCCATCTCTATCGTTATTCAACTCTCTAGGGACAGAGTGAAAGTGTTCTGTATATCTCTATGAAATAACTGAGCTTACCCAAATACTTTGAAAATAAGATTTTTTTGAGTTTAATATTGTGACTGTCTTCTCATTTTAAACCGATAAACATTAAATCCCATGCAGTTAATGCTTAATAGGACATTTGCATTGCATGGTGTTCTTTAGCTACAATGTCAAGGATCTCTTGCACACTTTCTTTTGTTCAGTTAATTAGCAGCAATTGCCTTACTATAATCCTATCGGGGGGAGGGAGTACTCCGCCAGAATTTGGGTAGGGGTGTTCCGCTGGGATTCTGAAAGGGGTACCCTGTTTATGACAAAA